AGCCCTGATGCTCTTTTTCTATAAAGAACAAAGAAATGACTGGCCCTTCATTTGAAAATATAATAAAAGTAGTAAGGAAGTGATTTTAGGTGCAGGTGGACCTGTGTTCTTTCCTATACCAAGTGCTACTTGGGAACACAGAACGTGAAACCAATGGGAACACAGAAGCCAGTGAGGGCTCCAAGCTACGGCAGGCTACGCGTGCAGAATTTATTTCTGAAAGGGTGAAACTCACTTTCCCTGGCTGCTTCATGTGGATTCTCTCAACACAAAAGTTGGCCAGTTTTGAAATGGCAGTTCTCTCAGAATATTATTACTGCAGTCGGGGAAGTTTTGCTTCCACTTCTACTTTAGGAAATATAAAGCTATTTTCACTGCTCTGCCAGCATTTCCAGGTTCTAATGAAATGTCTTCTAATGCGATCAACCCCAGCGCACTCCTGGATGTGCTCACGGCCTCCAGTCAGCCAAGTCAGCATAGCAGTATGAAGCAGGCCTTATTGTCTACTGCAAGCCCCACGGGCTGGCTCTACAGACTGCAGTTCCAACAAGGTTGATAGAGAAACGAGCGCAGCAGAGAGCTTCAGCGACCCCAGCTCCACTCCCACCACCAGCCAGCTCAGAGCTGGCCCCAGGGAGTTTGTCCTACAACCCAGGGTGGGCCAGGCTTCCCGCAGCAGCTGCTGTGCCAGACGGCCTGTGACAGAAGCTGAAGTCAAGATGGAGAGTGGGGACTGCCTAGAAGTGGAGAACTGAGCTAGAAGGTCTGACCCAGCTGTCTGAGCAGCTGTGTGAAGCCTGGACTGCCGAAGTCTTTCTTTACAAGGGCGAACAGGTGCGCCCCCTCATCTGTTCTCTTTGAATCCATTTAACTTGGGTTTGGCCTCTTGAAATGGAAAAAGTTTGGAATTAGTTAAGACACTTTTAGTTGCAAGTAAAAGAACCCTTGACTAAAAATGGCTTCCACCATAGGTGTTGTCTGATGGAGCAGGCAGCTTCACGTGGCACTGACTCCGCAAAACAGCAATGCAGTCCAGCATCCGGGCTGCTCTCTCCCCTGGCAATACTTACCATTTCTTTGTCTTCTGTCCCCCTTTGGTAGTTCTAGGGATTGAACTCTAGGCCTGCACACTGAATTCATCTCTAGGGGTTTTTTTCGTTTTTTTTTTTTTTTTTTTTTTTTAATTTTTTTAAATTTTGAGTCAGGTCTTGCTAAGTCACTAAATTGCTCAGGCTGGGTTTTGTTGTACTTTTTTTAGGGAGGGGTCTACAGGGTGTTCAGGGTCTCACTCTAAGATCAGACTCATATTGATCTGCCTATCTACAGCCTCCCAAGAGCTGGGATTACAGGCATGCGCCACCACGCCCAGTCTCTGTAGGCACTTTAATCTGATAAACTATTTGGCCATCCCTCTCAGGCTGGGTTTGAACACCACCTTCCTGCCTCAGCCTCCCAGAGGGCTGGAATTAGAGGTTATGTGCAACTCCGGTTTTTGCCTTTGAGTCACTGTAGCTGCAGGTGGACAACCAGAGCTCAGGCACCACTTCCTCAATCAGCAGAACTGCAGGAAGGAAGGGAACTGTTCTCATTTCTATCAGGAAGGAAACATTTTCCAGGGGCCATCACCCAGCACACTTCCCTCTACTGTCATCAGCCAGAATGGACTTCACACTCACTGTCCACCGCCCACCGGGAAAAGGAGTGCAATGACCATGAAGACAGAGATCAAACTTTAATTTTTTTTCCCCCTCAGGGACCAGGGTTCAACCCCCCTAGTGTGCTGTGCTGGCCCCGCTCCTGGGGTACGCTGAGAAGGTGGTTGAGATTGGGCGTGGTGGCGCACACCTGCAGCCCCAGCACTTGGGAGGCTGAAAACAGGAGAATTGCTGCAAGTCTGATCTCTGCAGTGAGACCCTGTAGACCCTGCACTAAATACAGAAAGAAAGGAAATTCCTTTTTCTTTACTGCTGGTTGAACCCAGGGCTACACACCCAGCCCATATTTTAGGTTTTTTTGATTTGTTTTTTGTGCAGGGTCTTACTACACAGCCCAGACTCATAGTGATCCTTCTGATTTCTGCCTCCTTAGTGCTGGGATTACAGGCGCGTACCACTATGCCTGGACTCCAGCTCCAGCTCAGGGTGCCCGGTGGTGGGGTCAGCACGGCATGTGGACAAGCCCGTATTTTATTTATTTATTTATTTATTTAATTCTGTGCAAGGCCTACAGGGTCTCACTACGTAGATCAGACTCATAGTGATCCTCTTGCTTTCTGCCTCCCAAGTGCTGGGATTATAGGCACGCCACCACACCCAGTCTCAATAACTGCCCAGTCTCAATCACTGTCTCAGTGCACCCTGGGGGGCAGGGCCGCACACCAGACCTGGGATCAAACCTCCAAACCCTCGCTTTAATCTGTTGAGCTATCTGGCCAGCCCTTCCATGTCTCACTAAATTGATAACTGCCTGGGCTGGGCTCAAATTTTAGATCCTTTTGCCTTAGGCTCCCAGAATGCCAGGATAATGAGTGTGCACCACCACGGACAGTTGCAAAAACCAAACTTGACACTGTTGGCTGCCTACCCACAAGCCATATCCTCTTCTCCTTGAAGACAGACCCTAATTCTGATGAGGTGTCTTTTTTTTTTTTTGGTGGAACTGGGAATTTAACTCAGGTCCTTGAGCTTGCCAGGGAAGCACTTATTCCACTGAGCCATCTCCCCAGCCCCATAGGTATCTTCTTTTCAATGGGAAGAAGAGGGAAATGGCTCTTAGGTAGGCAACTGAGAACATCTGCTGTATGTATATAGTCAACTACTAAGCCTTAGGCAACCATAGTAAAACCATTTACTGTGCCTCAAGCATCCTTACTCCCACTCCAGCCTTAAATTTGATACTGATTACTGCCTCTTCTTCCTTCAATAAATTAACTACTCCCGCTGTGGGTTCCAGCAGCTCGGGCGGCAGGAGGAACGGCAGCGGTCGAGCTGCGTAGCTCCGCAAGGCTCCCGTGCGCCTCGATCGTGCTTGCCAAGATGCCCAAGAGGAAGGTCAGCGCGGCTGAAGGGGCGGTGAAGGAGGAGCCCAAGAGGAGATCCGAAGAGACTGTCGGCTAAACCTGTACCAGCTAAAGTGCAAAGGAAGCCAAAAAGGGCAGCGGGAAAGGGTAAATCTTTGGACAAAAAAGTGCAAGCAAAAGGGAGGAGGGGAGCCAAGGGAAAACAGGCTGAAGGGGCTGATCAAGAAACCAAAGAAGGGGCTGGAGAGATGGCTCAATGGTCTAAAGCACCTACTTGAAACAAGCTTGGCAAAGCACAGGGACCTCGGTTCGATCCCCCAGCACCACATGCCAGCCAGCCCCGCCCCCTGGTGGGCTGAGCTGGCCACACACACACACACACACACAATAAATAAATGTAATAAAAATAAATAAATATTAAAAAAAAAAAAAAAGAAAAGAAACCAAAGATGTACCTGTGGAAAATGGAGAAACTAAAAATGAGGAGAGCGCAGCTTCTGATGAAGAGAAAGAAGCCAAGTACAAAATAATAATAATAATAATAATAATAATTTTAAAGGGGGGCCGGGGAGATGGCTCAGTGGAATAAGTGCTTCCCTGGCAAGTGCAAGGGCCTGAGTTCAATCCCTGGGGTTCCACCAAAAAAAAAAAAAAAAGAAGCCAAGTCTGATTTTAATCACACACCATGTCTTATCAGTGCTCCCTGTCTCCCTTCTTGTACAATCCAGAGGAATATTTTTATCGACTATTTTGTAAATGCAAGTTTTTTAGTAGCTCTAGAAACATTTTTAAAAAGGAGGGAATCCTACCTCATCAGATTTTTTAAGTGTAAATGATTTTTTTTAGGGTGAAATCATTCTCTGGTTATTTTCTGGTACAACCAGAAATAGTGGGATATTGAATTATGGCAGGCTGTGACTGTCTTGGGTGTCAGCTTAGCATTCTATAGGTGCAGATTAGTTTTATATCCTGCAATACAAAGTATACTGAATGGCAATTTGGAATTACAGTCCTGCATTTAATATGTCTTGGATACTTTAAATGACTTCTATTCTCATGATTTTTGGTAGAATTGTTTCCTAAAAAAAACTACATTCCTAATTGTTGCCCTGTCAGAATTGTGTGCAGTCTATAACATCTGTGGTAGTGGTAGTCTGTTTTGCCTCATTTTGTTAATGTGCTGTGAAAGATCAAAAATTTGAATATGTAGTGTATGTGATACAAAATTGTGATTGGTGGGACTTAAGTAACACTTTGTCAGCATTTGAAGATGCTGGTACTTAACCCTCTTACAGAAAGTTTGCCTCTAAATTTGAAGCTGGAAAGTCACTGGAACAACTGAAAAACAATACATGGTTTTTTTGGTATGTGTGTTAAGAATTGTGTACAAAGCGAATCATGTGTACTGATCCTCAACACAACCAATAAAATCTCAAATACTGAAGATAAAAAAAAATTAATAAATTTTAAAATAATTAATTAATTAATTAACTACTCAGAGTCGGGGAGATGGCTCAGTGGAATAGGCGCTTCCCTGGCAAGTGCAAGGGCTTGAGTTCAATCCCCGGTTCTGCCAAAAAATAAAAAATAAATTTACTACTCAATGAATGTGACTGTGTTCACAACTGTTATTATACAGATTCACCCACTCCACCTAAGAGCTAATTACCTTAACAATTGCCACCGGAAACAATAGATATAGTAAGTGGCTGCCACTAGCTAACAGCAGGAAGCCATTTCTCCACCCTAAACTATAAGGTCAGTGTGCTCATGGGACAAAGAGAAGCAGCTCACAAAAAGGGCCTGTTCCCAGGCCAGCGATCCAGAGGCTGAGGCAGGAGGATTGCCATGAGTTCAAGGCTAGCCCAGGCTACACAGCAAGAACCTGTCTAAAAACAAAACCAGCAAGGGTCTGGGGCAGGGACAGCGGAAGGTGGTTGCTGTCTCTGCTTTTATTGTGGGGTCGCTGATGAGCACTTACCCAGAGAAACAACAGCAACGCTCTCTGGCAAGAAGTGCAGTCTGTATCTGATGAGTAAATGCACCAAGATGATGCAGATAGCTGTGGGGGGAAATAAGATACTGTTTAAAAACCTAGTTTTGAATAGAAAACACCCAGCTCAAGGCAACGGTTCCCTTTGTGGGGCCATCAAGATCGCAGACAACTGGCAATCACAGAGTCTGCTGGACTTCTACCGTCCTTTCTTAACCTCGGGGTGGGACTGACAGTATTGTATTTTCTTTGTATACCTGAACCACAGTTCTCGGTGATTAACCTTTTAATAAACTGTAAAACACGCAGAGCGCTCCCCCACTGCCCGCCCGCCTCTCAGACGAGCAACAGCGCCCGACTTTCTTCACAGGGTGCTATCAGAAATGAAAACGAAGCCTGGCACCGTGGCACGAAACTGTAAGCCCAATACCAGGAGGCTGAGGCAGGAGGTTCCCAAGTTCAAGCTCTGGCAACTTAGTGTTTTAGCAAGACCCTCTCTCAAAAAAAAATCTATTTGAAAAAAAGGATTTATCCAAAAATTAAAAAAATTAGAAAAAGTGTCCTTTTGCATTATTACTTCCCAATGTGAGTCCATGCTCCAAATGTTAGCGTATGTATCTCTTCCCTTTACTTGACACCTAGATGGCACACTACTTCAAAAATCGCAGTATTAATTTAACAGCTGTAAATATACTTTTTTTTTGGTCTTGAGACAGGGTTTCACTATGCAGTTCAGGCTAGCCTTCAGCTCACTTTGTAGCTCAGGCTGGTTTCAAACACCCAACGATCCTCTTGCCTCAGGCTCCTAAGAGTTGGGATTACAACTGTGAGCCACCACACCTGGCTATAACCTTTTTTTTAAAAGGAAATATTTTTAAAATCTGCATGGCTGTTAAGTAGCTACCCTTTGAGCCCATACTGACAAATCAGATTTCTTCAATCCCACCAAAAAGTACCAAGAGGCCGCGGGTGGTGGTGTGTGCCTATAATCCCAGCACTCAGGAGGCTGAGGCAGGAGGATCATTGCCAGCTCAAAAATTTGAGGGGTCAGAGCTACAGCTCAGAGGCATGAGGTCCTGAGTTAAATTTCTGCCCCCCCCCATAAAAGAAAGAAATTTTAGGCTAGTTAGAAAAATCTCACATTAAATAGTAAGAGCACAAATAAAGCCCCAGTGCCCAAGTGCAACATGTAACTCCAGGGCAGGCCCTACTGGCTGGCAACAGCAGCGAAAAGCATACATGTGAGGAGGTAAGGGGACAGAAAACAGAGGGAAGCGAGTTTCTGCTTTTGCTTTGCACCAAGATGGATTTCTAAAAACAAATTTAGTGCTGGGGATGGAACTCAGTGGTAGCACACTTGCCTAGCATGTCTGAGGCCCCTCAGTTCAAGCTCCAGTACCCCAATAAACCATTCCATCAAGTTTACTCTCACTGGGCATGGTGGCTCATGCCTGTAATCCTAGCACTCAGGGAATCTGAGAGAGGATTCCAAATTCAAGCCCAACATAATGAGACCTTTTCTCAAGATCAAAAAAAAAAAAAAAGTGCTGAGAATACAGCTGTGTAAAAGCCTTAGGTTCAATCACCAATACCAGAGGAAAATTTATCCTTCTACATAGAAGAGCCATATGCAGCTTTAATAGCAAACAGAGAAAAAAAAAAAAAAAAAAGAAACCACCAAACAAGAAATCTTTATTAGTACAAAGAGCTAAATATGAGGTGGGGTTGTTTTTTTTTTAAACAGTGTTTCGGGGCTGGTGAGATGGCTCAGTGGTCTAAAGCACCTACTTGGAACAAGCTTAGCAAAGCACAGGGACCGCGGTTCAATCCCCCAGTACCACATGCCAGCCAGCCGCGCCCCCTGGTGGGCTGAGCTGGCCACACACACACCCAAATAAAATTAAAAAATAAAAATAAACAGTGTTTCACTATGTAGCTCAGGCTGGCCTTGAACTCACTTTGAAGTTCTGGCCTCAAACTCAAAGTGATCCTCCTGCCTTAGCCTCCCCAGTCCTGGGATTACAGTACAAATACGTTAATTAACAGTCTTGGTCAGGTAGAGCAGGCCTGTAAGGTAGCAACCTTGAAGACATTATGCTAATAATGTCATAAAAGACTGACTACACATTGTATGATTCCATTCATATGAAATATTCTGGTTCCTTTGTTTGGGTAAGAGCCTCATTCTGTAGTTCACACTAGCCTTGGGCAGCAGCTATCTTCCTAAACCTCTCACACACTGGGATTACAGGCAAGCACCACAACACTTGCAAAGGAAATGGGGAGTGATGGCTTTGAATGTTTTTAATGATGGCATTAATAATGACTTACCTTTTAAATACTGTTTAAAAAAAAACCCTGTATGTAGCTATTTGTACTAATAAAGATTTCTTGTTTGATGGTTTGTTTTTTTTTTTAATGGTGATGAAAATATTGTGGAACTACACAGTGGTGATGGTTGTACAACACTATGAATGTCATAAATGCCACTGAATTGTACACTTTAAAATGCTTTATGTGCTGAATCAAGAAGATAGAAAAAGGGCTGGGGAGAGAGCTCAGTGGCGTAAGCACTTGCTTGGCAAGTACAAGGTCCTAAATTCAATCCCCTAGTACCACAGATACATACACACACGTGCATGACAGAATCCTATAATATGCCTGCAGAACATATTTCATTTGCTTTAACCACAATAATAAACAAAAGTGGCAAAAGTATTCCAGGTTAGGAGTTCTAAGGTCTAGGACAAATAATTCACTACAGCTCTCATATAGTGTTCAGTACTTAGCAAGTTACCTATTCACATTTTTAAATTAATCAATTGTGTGTGTTTGTGTGCATGTGGGGTTTCTTCAAGTCAAGGTCTTGCTATGTGGTTCAGGCTGGCCTTGAACTCATTATGTAGCCCAGGCTGATCCTCCTCCTTCAGCCCCCCAAGTGCTGGCCACCAGATCCAGCTGGTAACTTTTTTTTATTCTATCAGATACACATTATTTGGGCATCTAATCAGGACCAAATGATAACAACATATAAAATCAGAGAGAAAAAAAAAATCCCTTCAATTATATGTAAAGAGAAGGTCTCATCCAGCCTTCTAATGCAGACTGACCAAAGCACAGTAAGGAAAGCTGCTGACGCTCAGCTGCATTAGAATTAACTGATTAGAATCCTATGAGAGGGAAACAGAAACCACCCAGAGACCCGAGAGGCCAGGTTTAAGATCAGAAGACAGCACAGAAAAAAAAAAAAAAAAGTAGTTTGGGGCCAGGAAGGTGGCTCAGTGGAATAAGTGCTTCCCTGGCAAGCACAAGGGCCTGAGTTCAATCCCTGGTTCCGCAAAAAAAAAAAAAAAAAAAAAGAGAAGACAGCACAGGTTCAACTGCGCCTTTTCTGACCCCCAAGGCGCACACTCTGGGCAGGACTCCGCCTCCATCTGGAAGCTCGTTACTGAAAGCTTCTTTGCTGCTGGGAACTAGACAGTGCAGTGGATTAGCTGAAGTTCGTCTTAAATGCACCACACCCTGAAAGCTACTTTGGAAGTCCTAGGGCTGTTTTTCACTCTCCCTTTAAAGAGATTACAAACATCTTTTCCACCCCACCTTTTATATGCTTTAGCATAGCACGCTGACAGCAATATAAACAGACTAACAATACGCAATCCCAAGAGGAGACTTCAGATCTCATAATTGAGGAAATGTTTTTCTTCTTTGTATCTAACTACAAATAAAAAGAATCAAACAAAGTCCTTCATTCACAAGATAAAAAAACTCCAGGGTGTATTCAACCTACTTGAGATACTGTATACTTCTGGTTTGGGTCTGTTTTTCATATTTAGTCTAAAAGTTTTGGGCCAGAGATAGGTTCAGCAGCACAATTGCCTGCCTGGCAAGTGCAAGGTCCTGAGTTCAATTCCCAGTACCAAAAAAATAAAATAAGTTTTTAAAAGTCTATGAATTGGTTGGGCAGATAGCTCAGTGGCACAAATGCCTGTCTGGAGAGCACAAGGTCCAGGGTTCAATTCCTGGTACCAAAAAAACCCCAAAAACTCTTATGACTTGAAGCTGGATATGGTGATACATGCCTGTAATCCCAGCACTGGGGAGGCTGAAACAGGAGAATCATGAGTTTGAGACCAGCCTGGACTACAAGCTCAGTTCAAGGCCAGCCTGAACTGCATAGTAAGACTCTGTGTCAAACAGACAATAAGTAACCATCTAATGACACATAATGGTGAATCCTGCATTTCTTTCTCTTTTCTTTTTTTAAGCATATTTGGTGCAGGGTCTCACTATGCACCTGGGAGTCGTAGTGATCCTCCTGTTTGTAGCCTTCCTAGCACTGGGATCACAAGCATGTGCCACCACATTGGGTCCGCTGAGCTATCTTGCCAGACCTGAATCCTACATTTAATTTCTTTTGGCAGAACCAGAGATTGAACTCAGGCCTTTGTGCACTTATTCTACTGAGCCATCTCCCTGACCCCTGAATCCTGTATTTCAAATACAATTATTACATTGTTATAATTACTTTACCATTTATCAGTCTGGATACAAATTTAAAAGAAGTTACTTTTCCTCAGAAAACCAGTCCTAAGAGACAGTCAGAGAAACATACAATGAAAACCCAGTTCTACCTTTCAGTCTTTTTGAAAAGATTTAATTAGAAAGATGACCTGGGTGTTATTTTTTTAAAAAGCAGCAAATGTCAACATACCAACTTCACTTTCAAACCAGTTTGGACTAGAGTCAAACTCTTAAGTTCTTTCTTCCTTAGCCAGCTAATCCAGTGATTATGTAGTTTCAGTCTGACTTCTTTTGTCCAAAGCCATTATCTACTGTCTCCAGGAGTTTCTGCCTGTGTGTGTAATATGTGTGGTCCTGGAGACTGAACACCGGGCCTGTACACTAAGGTACATACCCAGTCCCCGCCTCCTTTAAATTCTGAGATGAAGTCTCACCAAACGTCTCAGTTGCCCAGGCTGAACTCAAACTTGTTATCTTCCTGCCTCAACTAGCTAGTTTCTGCCCCTGATCTAAACCTCTGACAATGTAGATATCAGGCTCTGGTCTCCCATTAACCAGGCTTGCCAATTCTTTGACATCTCTGGGCTTGAATTTGCTCACCCACTAAAGGAGAAAGGGGAAATAACATTTTAAGTTTGAATGAATCCGCTTAAACTAAATACATAAGAATGTAGTTTTTAAAAGAAAGTAGAGGGGCTGGTGAGATGGCTCAGTGGTCTAAAGCACCTACTTAGAACAAGCTTAGCAAAGCACAGGGACCACGGTTCAATCCCCCACCACCACATGCCAGCCTGCCTCGCCCCCTGGTGGGCTGAGCTGGCCATACACACACACACACACACACACACACACACACACACACACACACACACAAATAAATTTAAAAAAAATAAAAGAAAGTAGAATGTTAATGGAACTTAACAAAAAAAGGGGATACAGATGAATGTCCATTTTGTATTTGTGTATTCAAAGTGGTTAGGATAGATATATAGTTACATTCTCTTAAGGAATAGAGGGATTTGTTCTAATGGTGTTTGTAAATAGGATATCACATCCGAATCTTGTACAGCAATTAACCACTAGGAAGAATGTAT